CCCCCCTCCCCCCCCCCCCCCCTCCTCTGTTCGTCGTCGCTACGAAACCCCCAACCCCAACCCATCAACAGACGATTCACATCGGGCTCCACCACTCCAAGATGATCCTTCTCAAGTACAAGACGGGCGTGCGAGTGGTGATCATGACGTGCAACATGCGCCCGGACGACTGGGGGGGGCGGTGCCAGGCCGCGTGGTACCAGGATTTCCCGTTCAAGCCTCCCCGGGCCAAGAGCAAGGGGAAGGAGAAGGCTCGAGGGAAAGCGGGGAAGAGGAAGCGCGTCGGCGCTGATGCTGCGCCCATCCTCGACGAAGAGCCGGAGGAGGAGGAGGAAGAAGGGGGCGTTGTCGGAAAGAAGAAGCGGCGCGGCGAGAGTGGTGTCGCCGCTGCTGATGATGCTGGTGGGGCCGGGAGTGGGACCAAGAGGAAGCGCGTGGATAGCGATAGCGAGGAGGACTACCCGGTGGAAGAGGAGGAGGAGGAGGAGGAAGGGGAAGGGGAAGGCGATGACGACGACGTGGTTATCACCTCCGAGTTTGAGGTGGGTGCGGTACTACGGCGACGGTGGCAGCGTCTTTGTGTGTGGACAGCTTGTGGGGGAGGCACGAGGAGCGGTACAGGTAGATGTTCAGGCTGCTGTTTTCGGCTTGCAACAGGGATTCATGGGGTGTGTGCTAGAAGTGAAGAAGTTCTGCTTCCTGCGTGTTGGGTTATGTGGCAAATGTATCCCGTTCTTTTGGTAGGACATCGTTTCCAGACTGCGTCAGGTCGAGAGAACCGTGCCCAGCTGGTTGGAAGGCACTCAACACCCCCCCACCCCCCCTATGTAGTCTTCTTTGGCACGCTTTTTTGTCGCTGTTGCACAGCAGCCGGTACTCGATGTCCTTGCAAGGCAGTAGGTAATGTAGCTCGTAACGGTGCTAACCTTTCCGCCAGGGTTGTCCCGTTATTGGACTTTTGCCTTTCCCCCGGCCTTTTCGTTGTTGTGAGAAATCGACGGAACGCCGGCCTTTTCGTTATTGTGAGAAATCTGCGTAGACTGGCGCGATCGTCTGCACCACCTCCCTCCCTCCCTCCAATACAACGTCATGTCTATGCCCGCGCCGCCGCCTTCTACATCCCCTACACCCGTCCGTCTTCGACCCCCTCCCACGCGGTTGCACACTTTTGCCCAACAGGAAATCCTGATCGACTACTTCGAGCACGTGGGGGGCCCGGCTGCCGTGTGGGGGAGGTAGGACACCTGTTGTCTTTCTTCCATTCTGCGACGACACGGAAGAATCAATCCATAGATGTTCGTGGAGAGAGTGCGGGGTGGCCTTTTTATCCGCCGTAGGTTCTGGCCTATCATGGTGCCTCAAGCGACAAGCGCCATGCAGATTCATTGCGCGATGCCATTTTGCCGGCGCCAAACGACGCGATACTTTTAACCTCTCTTGGTGTAGATCAAAAGAACCAATCAGCATCCATATGATGCCCCCCCCCCCCCCCCCCCCCCCCCCCCC